TGGCACTTCCGATGAAAGAAATTGCTGGTCACGAACTCTGGCACTGGGCATCTTCACAATCATTTTCTAGATTTTGTAGATTTTATCCTTGCCATATATCTTTATTCAGATATGCTTTCTATTCACATATTTTCTATTCACTGTTCAATCCATACGCATTAATCCACATATTACACCTTATATATATATATATATATATATATATATATATAATATATATATATATATATATACTTTTTTCCCTATACCTTTTGCAAACCATACAGCCAATCCATATGTACTTCAAAGATTTCACTTTCTCTCTCTTTCCCAAGATCTATTTCGATTTCACATACCTTAATTTCTATAAAATTCACTTCACTCTCATCACATTAGTTTTTTTTTTTTTCTTTTCTTTTCGTTTTATCCTTTCTATCGATCACTGTATCAACACGTAACAGCTCATTGTCACCAAAATATCGATCTACATTTTATTTACGTTGTACACTGACAACCGCTTGTAATGGAACTCACACATGTTGTAATAATCTCCGTTTTTTATTTTTTCCATATCTTGCTGTCTGTATGAAACTGTAATGCTTAATCATTATAAACGACAATGATAACAATAACAAAAACAACTGGAATAGTAATAATTATAATGATGATGGTAATAGTAATGATGATAAGCTGGTAATAACAACAGTATTGATAATAATAATAACAACAGTAATAGATGATGATAATAATGTTGATGATAATAATTGCAATGGTAATGATAATAATTATAACAATAATAAGAAGAATAACAATAATGATGATAATGACAATAATAGTAATAATAATAGTAATAATAATAATAACAATAATAACAATAATAATAACAATAACAATAATAATGATAATGATAATAATAAAATTAGAATAACAATAATAATTATAATCAATGCAATGGTAATGATAATAATTAGAATAAGAATAAGAATAACAATAACAACAATATTAACTATAAAAATGATAATAATAATAGTAATAACAATAACAATAATAATAAATATATAATAACAATAATAATAATAATAATAATAATAATAATAATAATAATAATAATAATAATAATAATAATAATAATAATGATAATAATAATAACAACAACAATAATAATAACGATAATAAAAATAATAAGAATAACAATAGTAATGATAACAAGAATAACAAGAATTAAATATTTGATACTAATCAGTAGTAGGAGAGAAATCATGATTATGATAATAACAATGATGACAATAATGACAATAATAATAATAATGATAATAACAATAGTAATAGTAATGATAATAATAATCATACTTATTGTTATCATTATTATCATCGTCTTTATTTTCATCATTAACATTATAATAAAAGTAATAAGAAAAGCAACAACAACAACAACAGAAACAACAAAAATAATAACAACAAAATAACAATTGTGATAATAATGATGGTAACAATAATGATAATATCTATCATTGTTTCCATTATTATGATCATTCTCATTACCATTAACATTATCATCATTATAACGATCAATTATCATTACTACTATTATCACTGCCATTACTATCACTATCATTCTCATCATTTTTTTTTACAATAAGAAGATAAAAAGATGCAAACAACAATAATGACAACTGCAACATTAATACGAAGAGCAATTATGATATGAATAGCGATAAAATTCATCACATTTAATTTCCTCTCTTATATTCACCCTTCGCACTTCCTAATTACTTCTATTCCCAACAGCAATTTAGACTAATGATCAATTTCTCTTAACAAGTGGATTTGATATTAGCGGAGGTATGCAGACAATCGTTATTTTCCTTATCTTCTAAATGACAATAGACTTTATTTGAAGTCGTCAATATTTTTTTATCTTTTGTGTAATCAATGGTAATATTTCCATGAGTGTGTGAGAACAATAAGTTTGATAATCTCATCGTTATTCAGGTCATAATATTTATCGTTATAAATCTATCTGAAGAATAATGATGATAACACCTTTTACTATAATTATTGTTATTGGTTTCATGTCTATTATTCATTTATTCATCGTCATCATCATTATCATCATTACCATCATCATCATGACTTTATTACCAACATTATGATTATTACACCATTATTACCATAACCATCAAATTTCAATTCTCTTCAACATTCAAGAAAAAAATCCTTAAACTTGTTGTCCTTCACAATTGCAAGTCCCCCCCCCACCTCCCTTTGCAATGCCATCCTTGCTAGACACTCACGCATAGCGCATCTTATTTGATTCATATTATAACAATCAGATTGTGAATACAGGTGTTTGCATATAATAAAAAGCAGTCATTCATCAATGTATATGTAAAAAATATATGTGTGGTATGTGTATGTATGTTTAAGTGAATGTTTACGCCTTTGTGTTTTTAAGTGAACATTGTCTATGTTTACGTTTGTGTACAGAGTGTAACTTTGATCAGTCCAAGACCATAAACTTGTGTAAACAAATAGTGCGTCCATTAAGTAGTAAAGTTACAAAAATAGCAATAGTTAATATCTCCATCAAACATAGGATACCGTATATCAATGTCAACAGTTTAAAAAAACTCATATGCAAAAATTAATATTATTTGGACGTTAAAAAATATTATCGTACATCCACGGCCTTATCAGCAATTGAACTACCGTGATGCATAACAATTATTAAAGTACACATAAAGAGAACCCTTGGTAAAGCGCAGATAATATGTCTGAACATGGAAATTATATAACAAAAGTACCTTCCAGCAAGAGAACTTATATATCAGAGTAAATAAAAAAAACATCCCATGTTTAAAAATAAACGTAATCCTTACCGAGAAAGGATGGAAACGTTTAATCATTCCAACGTTCTTATAGAAAAAAAAAACAGACACCTTTGTCAGTGAAAAGATGCTGGTTAGTTTAGTAATGAAACAAATTATAACTAATAAATATATGTGATTCCCAGCAACTTAAAAATTACTTCAAATAACAAAAGCATTAACAAATATACTCTATAATAATACCACTGTAATGTAAACCATATCTCTCTCTCTCTCTCAAAAGAAACACAAATGTCAATTTCTCTCTCTCTCTCTCTCGAGTCACTAATCTCAATTTCTCCCTCTCAAAAGAATCGCTTATCTCGACTTGTCACAAGAGGATACTAACCTACACCTTGTCTCTAATAATGTAAGAACAAAATATTCCGACGATCATGACCAACGCTGTCTCGTCACATCTTCCCCTTGCGTTGCTGGCGATGAATTATGAACCATTATGCTCAGCTCATTTTATTTGTTTTCATTCATTTACTTATTTATAACTTCTTTTTCGAGGTCAATGGATACGGCTTAATACTTTTTTTCCTGACTTTGTTTAGACGTGGATAAATGAGGGTGAACTTAAGCTTGTTGAGGTTAATTTTTCCGCATGTAAAGAAAGGGGGAAATATGAGTAAAATAGTCCTCTCATCAGAAGGTCATCACCTACAGAGAAAAAAAGACCTATTCATTTTAACAGTTCAGAGGAATAGAGTAATCTCTGATCTTCGTATTTTCTCCAATTGCTGTAAAATTATGCATCATTTAAAAATACCCTATTCTTTGACAGCAAGAATGAATCGCTCCTTTACCAAAAAAAGTCGACCCGATCTCTTGGAAAGTCGCGATGACCTGACTCCCCAGCTGTAAGAAACAAACCTCAAAACTCGCTCTAATTGCTGGAAGAACACAGGCTACCAGACCATATTATCAGATGGTCACCTTTGGAGTACTCTACTATCTGTAAGGTGTGATATCCACGAAGAAATACAAAATCTCAACCAATCTGTGAACCAGAATCAACCAGAATCTACAATCTCAACAATATCTGTTAAGAACTATTCTGTATGGCAGTTAGAGAGAAAGGGAAAGGCACAACGAGGCGGGAAACGTAGCATCTCATTTTAACTCTCTAGGATTCAATTGTTCCAATTCTTAAAATATTTAATTAATTTTTCAGTCCATGAATATGCGCCTACGTATAACCTGCCTCTCTCACTGCCATCACTTCTATGTAGTCGATAGCAAAAATGGTGACACATAGTATAACAACGAGATGAAATAGCATGTGACACATATATTTACTGACTTTTTGGCACCTCAAAAAATGTCTAACTATAAGATTCATGCAGAAGATGTGTGGCCTTTGTCTCCGAATCGTCTAGACTCTCAAATAACGAGTCATTAGCGTTTAACAAGCGAGGACACACCTTGAAAGTCGGGGAAGGAAAGATGAATAAAAGAAAGCAGAAGGAAAAGAAAGTGAGAACAGTCCAAACGGGTTCAGAGTTTCCTTCTAAATCAGACGCGAGCTCCCCCTGCCAAGACAGAGCGGCCCAGAAGGTGGGGAAGAATAAGACACCGTGATCAAGATATGTTGGCGATCGTCGTCTACGAGGGAAGAGGAGGTACTGAGGAAAAGGGGCTAAGACCGAGGGAGAAATTAGTTCAGACGGAAAAAACAGGGTCTACACTTCTGGGGGAAATGTCTAAACATGGAATTCTAAACTATCAAACACTTCTAACACGCTACTGAAAAGAAAGAAGTTCTCTAAACGAACTGAGACATTTCTAGAATCAATTTCTATTTTCTTCCCTGTGACTTTTTCCACGTTTATTTTACTGTGGTCTTTGATTTTATAATAAGGCTTTTGGGCCCCGTGAGGTCTACTGTGAGATAAAAGTAACTTTTCCTCAAAAATTCTTTACAACGAAAACAATTCTACAAGGAGTATGCCCAGGCCACAAAAAAGACACTGGATCTACTATCTTTCTAAATGACATGAGAAAAATATATATGCATGATGAAGTTCTTTCTCTTTTCATGTGCTCGTTATCTTAAAAATGTCGTCGTTGCTTGACGATTTGCAGTGAATATCAGGAAAATATGATTAAATGATAAAATCCATCCTTCTTAGTCGGAATGTAAGGCCC